AACTAAGTCCATGCATCACAAGTACTGAGCCTCGTGCTGCAACTACTGAAGCTCAAGCACCTAGAGGCTGTGCTCTGCAACGAGAGAAGCCTTGGCAACGAGAAGCCCTAGCACGGCAACTAGAGAGTAGCCCCCATCCGCAGTAACTAGATCAAGTCCATTCGCAGCAACGAAGACCCAGCACAACAACAACAACAGCAAAGTATTGTACCTGCCAAGGTGCCAAGGCACCTTTTCTACCTGCTAGCACTTGGATTGGATCCTTGGCCTATGGCTTTGGAAATAACAGTCATTGTGGCTAATGTTTACTGCGATGTTAAGGAAATCGAGTATTCCTACTAAGGAAACCAATCCTGAATATTCATTGGAAGGACTGATGTTGACGCTGAAGCTCCAATACGTTGGCCACCTGATACAAAGAACTGACTCATTTGAAAAGACCCTGATGCTGGGAAAGATTGAAGATAGGAGGAGAAGGGGACGACAGAGGATGAGGTGGTTGGATGGCATCACCGACTCTATGGACATGAGTTTGGGTGGACTCCGGGAGTTGGTGATGGACAGGGAGGCCTGGCGTGCTGTGGTTCATGGGGTCACAGAGTCGGACATGACTGAATGACTGAACACCAGCCGTAGGTGCCGGGAACTGTGCCCCACATATATTATCTCACTTAGTTTCACATTAACTCTCATTTGCCTCATGTTACTAAGGAGAGGACTGAGACCCAGAGACGTTAAGTAGTGTGTCTAATATCTCAAGGTTAGTAAGCCATAGAGCCTCACTTTATTCCCCAGAACCAGCTACATAAGGCACGAAGCCCAGTGTCAAAGGAAAATGCAGTCTCTTGTTAAAAAACAAAAACATGAGTAAGAACCTCATAAGGACAATAGCAGAGCGTTAAACCATGAGTGGGGCCCTTTTAAGTGGGGGACACTGCGTGACTGCCATGCACCCAAAAATGCACGGCCTGGCTTGAGAACGTTTGCTCTAACCCAAACCCCAGAGCCGAACGGCACGCGGTCCGGCCAGGATTTGACTTCAGCAGGTAAATAGCAAATGGGAGGGTTCCATGCACGCTGCACAGGCCCGCGTCCTCTGTAAACACCAGCTTTGTCTTCAGAAAGGGCTCGGGCTGTTTTCCAGCCAGGGGTGACCAGCGCTGAGCACTGCCATGGGCTTTCTCATTCACAACAGTGTGTTCTTGCTAGGCTGGTCTCCTCCTGCCGGGCGTCTCCAGAGGCCAGCTGGTGGCGGTGCCCGGAGCCTTCCGCTTAGGAAGTCCACTGGTGCTGCTCCGGGCTCCGTCTGCCTGACCCGTGGCTTCTCACCCCCCAGCCTTCGCTGCCCAGGGACCCGCACCCCGAATCCCACCGTGGGCCCCCTGTGCCTTCCAGCCGGTCTGGTCTGGGGCACAGATGTTGTGTCTGTTGTCTTGGGGCTCTGGGAGAACAGTGGAATTTTTGGAGAGAAAATAGGAACCAGCTATCTCTTTTCTCCTGGGTCTTCCCGCAGAAAACCCAGGGCAAGGTGATAACTGCGGATCCTTACCGAGTGCTTACTCTGGGCCTCCTGTTTCACCGTGGATTTAATCTCCAAAGGGTGCTCAGGCTTCACATGTGGCCATTTAAGCTGTAAGATAGGTGTTGTTAATAGCCCCCTCATTCAGACGAGGAAAGCAAGCCAGAAAGGTAAATTGCCCAAGAGCCGAGTTAGCAAGTGGAAGGATCAGAATAGAATTTTAATTCCCTGAGTTCTAAGCCCCGTGACACCTTACTTCAAAGTTCTATCAAGCCTTCAGGAAGAATGGGCAGGGAAGTCTTGAGGGCCCAGTACAAACAGAGGCAAAAATCCAGGAATGTGTCCTTCCTGTTGCCTCAGAGCAAAATTCCAAAAAGTAACTTCTGGAATTTTCTTAGAGTAACAGGGTTGAGTGTCAAAGTGGAGAACAACCTCTTCATATAGTTCGTCAGAGACAGGGGACACAGACAGACAGACAGACAGATACACGCACAAGATACAGCATAACTCAAAAATGGCAATTACTTTACATCCAAAGTGAAGTGATGGCCTTAAAGAGGCTTATTCAAGGCTTAAAAGTGAAAGTCACTCCGTCGTGTCTGACTCTTTGTGACCCCATGGACTATGAGTCCATGGAACACTCCAGACCAGAATACTGGAGTGGGTAGCCGTTCCCTTCTCAAGGAGATCTTCCCGACCCGGGAATCGAACCCAGGTCTCCCGCATTGCAGGCGGATTCTTTACCAGCTGAGCCACCAAGGAAGCCCAAGAATACTGGAGCGGGCAGCCTGTCCCTTCTCCAGGGGATCTTCCTGACCCAGGGATCGAACCGGGGTCTCCTGCATTGCAGGTGGATTCTTTACCAACTGAGCTACCAGGGAAGCCCCTCAGTTCAGTTCAGTCACTCAGTTGTGTCCGACTCTTTGCAACCCCATGCACTGTAGCACGCCAGGCCTCCCTGTCCACCACTAACTCCGGGAGTTTACTTAAATTCATGTCCACTGAGTTGATGGTGCCATCCAACCATCTCATCCTCTGTCGTCCCCTTCTCCTCCTATCTTCAATCTTTCCCAGCATCAGGGTCTTTTCCAATGAGTCAATTCTTTGCATCAGGTGGCCAAAGTATCCCCTATTCAAGGCTCATTTGAATATTACTTCTTGAGCGCCTGAGAACTTTGCTCTAATTTTAGCTTTCTAGCCTTCGAAACACAGAATAAAGAGCCCACTGTAATAAGATCCACACTACTGCTTACACTTTGCATCGGAAGCATACTGTTGACTGGTTTCCCCCACATTTTCCCTGAACCCCTGCAGAACCAGACTGGGTGATGTTGCATGAGTCTGAGGATAACCGGGTGAAGGCAGTGGTGTTGGATTGGAGCCTCCCCTTCCTGCTTTTCCCTCAGGCTCTTTAGATGATGGGACTGTCCCCTGAGCACCGTCCTGATCCAAGCGGGGGAGCGGATCCTCTCTGAAAGCTGGCCGGAGGGCTGCAGCTCTTGTGAAGGCTGATGAGATGCCAGCTCTGCAGGTCCAAAGCCACAGTGTGACCCCCTGCACCTGCAGTGTGCTTCTTTCTGAGATATCCAAACTAAAGGTCAATCAGGCAATTGGGAGACAGTCAAGCCAGAGCCATAAATGTATCCATAAGTTACCAGGGTATCCCCAGGTGTCACCATCACCCTGCAGGAATTGGAGCTGCATAGGCACCTTTATAGGACTTCCCTGGTGGGAAGCTCAGATGGTAAAGCGTCTGCCTGCAGTGCGGGAGACCTGGGTTCAATCCCTGGGTGGGGAAGACTCCCCGGAGAAGGCAATGGCAACCCACTCCAGTACTCTTGCCTGGAGAATCCCACGGATGGAGGAGCCTGGCAGGCTGCTGTCCATGGGGCTGCAAGGAGCTGGACACGACTGAGCGACTTCACTTCACTGGGCACCTTTATTCCTTTTTAACAGGGCTGTGCTAACATAAATCAGATTATTCCAGAGGGAAATGCTGACAGAATGATTTTATCCAAGTTCCTGAAAACACCCGAAAAAAGTTCTGAGAGCCTTTTTTTTTTTTTTTTGCACAATTAAATAAAAATCATGGTGAGTCAAAGAAAAGCAAGATTAGAAGGCTTGCCTGAACAGTCATTTAAAAAATAGAAGCTATATAATTTAGATGATTTGTGATAAGAGGTTTGAATGGTTCTCACTGGAAAACTGAACAGGAAAATAACCAGGTGACTCAACACCCAAAGGCAGGAAGCAAGAGTGAGTCCTCCAGGCCCACAGGAGGCTAAGTGATGGACTGGCCGTCAGCATTATCCTTCCTGTGTCGCATTCCCAGCATGCTAATTACCATGAGCCCAATAACTCACTTACTGCGTGGGTTTAGAGATAGGCTCCCCTTCAGCTGCTCTATGTGAGAGAATGTTACGTTAGGTGACTAGCTAGACACTAGTTAGCGTATGCAACACTCACTGGCGTGACTACTGAGTAATTTAGAGTCTCATCTCTGTATAATGTGTGTTAATGCTATAAGCCTTTTTCTTCCAGCACCACTGTCTTCAGTCCTGTCAGAGAGAGTAAGCCAAATATTCACTAGTTACTTACCTAACTGCAGAACTCTCGACAATGCGGATGAGGGTGTTTTTGAAGCACTGTTTGAAACAACAAGCTAATAGATCTGCTATTAGAGGATTTACACATCCATTCCACCACCAAACCTTTATTTCACACCTGAATCCAAGAATCCTTGGATTCCTGGTGCAAGAAGTGGGTGGGTCAGGGCGGGCAGGACTCAGATGGCATGGAATTCCCAGGAAAGAGAAAAAGGGACCCAGGCCAAGCTCAGCATCCCGGTCCATGTGAGAAGGAGCACGCGGCCTCTCCTCTTCCACTCCTGACTGTTTCCAGGCTTCTCCAGGCAGGGCTGTATGATCCAGGGGTCCTTTCTGAGTTCATCCTAGACCACCCATCCTCCTTCATGTGGAACACCCATCACCCTAAGAAGGCAAATGCTGGAGACAGCCACAGTCTAGCCCGTGGAGGGGATGGCCCTGGGATGAGGCTGGATAGGAGAAGCTCTTTTCAAATCAAAAAAGTAATGGTAAATCCTCCTCAGGCGCTCAGTGTCCCTAAACCAGACACGCTGAAGATGTCTGATGTTTCTGAAATGGGTGGTACCATTTCCCAGCAGAAACGCAGGTCTAGATGACCAAGATCTCCTAAAATGTCATCTAATGAAATGCATGTCATCTTATCAGATCCTGGAAGCCTGGACCCTCTTGAAATTGTATACCTGGAGAGAAAGAAGAGATGCAATGGAACGGTGTTCTAAATTCTGTAGGGCTTTTAGAATGGAGCTCTCCTAAAACTCCTGAAGTTCAGGGTGGGGATGAAGAAGCCCTCTAGGAAGTCAGGTTCTTTGGTTCAGTGCTCTAATTTCTCTGCCGCTTCACCACTCTCCCTCTCTCTTTTTAATATTTCTCACCAGGGTATGGGAATATTGCTCCAAGCACTGAAGGAGGCAAAATCTTTTGTATTTTATATGCCATCTTTGGAATTCCACTCTTTGGTTTCTTATTGGCTGGAATTGGAGACCAACTTGGAACCATCTTTGGGAAAAGCATTGCAAGAGTGGAGAAGGTCTTTCGAGTGAGTACTGCGTCTGTTTAAACCCTAACCTCTGTGATCCAATTGGCTTTAGCCTGGAAGGATCCAGAAGAAATTACCAGGGTTTTATGGTGTCATTGTCACTTTTAATGGGATAATTCAATGTTGTGGTCATATATTTTTTATTTTGACCCATGGTAGTCACAGGTATGGTTCCTAATTCTTGTCTCTTGTCAGTCTCCCTGGAATCAGAACACAAGAGGGTTAAGTGTGGATTTTCCAACACATATTTTGGAGACATGTGGCATACACAACTTCTTATTAAAGAAGGAAGATGTGTTTTTTAGTGTATTGGCAATAGAGTGGTGTTCAGTCTCTCAGTTGTGTCCGACTCTTTGTAACCCCACGGACTATAGCCCGCCAGGCTCCTCCATCCATGGGATTCTCCAGGCAAGAATATTGGAGTGGGTTGCCATTTCCTCCTCCAGGGGATCTTCCCAACCCAGGGATCAAACCCGTGTCTCCTGCGCCTCTTGCATTGGCAGGCAGATTCTTTACCGCTGTGCCCCCGGGAAGCCTGGCAACAAAGTAGAACATTATAAGCCCGTCCATTTTGTTACTGGAGCTCCTTCTCTCTGTGTTATTTCCAAGCCCAGCGTCTTTAGGCTGATCCTGGCTTCTAAGACGTCTTCCAGACGCCTGCAATTTCCAGACATTGCTCTGTGCTTTGCATCTGTCTCCTCGCGGCCCCTCCCTCTCTCTTCTCCCACAGCTGAGTGCTCCCTCAGCAATAGTCCGCTCACACACTAACTCATACTAAGGTGTTGATGATTGCTGTTGCCTTCGTGAGTTTTTCTTTTTGAGAATGCTCACCTTGAAACAAGGGACAAAAATCTCAGTGCGAGGGGTTTGTTTGCTAGAGGTGGCATTCCTGGTATCAGTGACAGGCATGTGGAGTGACTGGACTGAGGTTTCCAATGCCCTTTAGCTCACACCCCATCATAGAATTTAACAGAACACTTGTTTTGTTTAGCAGTAAGATCATTTTTGCTCTCTTTCTCATCTCTTTACCTAATTCTCAAGTCTTTTAAACTTCCTTCAGGGAATTATTTCTTATGATGGCTTTGTATTTAAGAATGACAATTTGAGCCCTTTATCGGAATCTGGAAATGATGGGCAGAAATAGGCCAGTGGTCAGTTCTAAGGCTGCGCTTATCTTCCCCAGTGAGACAAGAAATCATGACATAAACTTCTCTTTGGAAGAATGTAAGGGAGTGCGCCCCTCGAGCAGTTTCATAAGTTCTCACTGAGCTGCGTGGAGGAAGGAGGCACTAGAGGTGACTTGGGGATGCCTTCTGTAAGCTCAGGGGCTTTGGGCGAGCTGACTCAGTTTGAATGTGTGCTTGCTAACTCGCTTAAGTCGTGTCTGACTCTTTGCCACCCCATCGACTGCAGCCCGCCAGGCTTCTCTGCCCATGGGGAGTCTCCAGGCAGGAACACTGGAGTGGGTTGCCATGCCCTCCTCCAGGGGATCTTCCAGACCCAGGGATCAAACCCAGGTCTCCTGCACTGCAGGCGGATTCTTTACCACTGAGCCACCGCGGAAGCCCCTGCCTCAGCTAACTCATCGGCAAAATGAGGTGGAATTCGAATTCGCTTTGTAAGGTCTTGGTGATGGTGAAATGGAATGATGTATGGAAAAGAGCTTGGCACAGGGCCAGACACAGTGTTCAGTGCCACTGAGTGTCCGTCTCCCGAAGGGGGCACTTGTTGGCAAGCAGGCCACCCATTAGAATTTCATGAGTGGCTCGGTGACGTGGGGGGGGGTCTTCCTGGAACCTTCCACAACCTTTGCTCTGAATTGCTGGCTGGCCAGCCAGCCTCATTAGAGTGTGCAGCTGGGCTCTGTGGTCACCATGGAAACCATCAGATGCTCAGGTCCCCCTACACCAGACATGGCAAACTTGTCTCCAAGGGCTGTTTTGAACTTCTCAGAGGTAGCCTGTTAGCCATGGCCTGATGGCTTCTGAGTTAGAGAAAAATGAATCTGGTGGCTTGAGCACTCAGAAGAACAGAATTCAAGTGGAGAAATGTCTGATCTGGCGTTTTTATTTTTATATCGCTTCTCTAGATCTGAGTTTATTTGTGGAAAGGAAAGATCAGACTACAAGCTTTCGAAATTCCCCCTTAGCAAAAATAAAATTTGGAAGCTGTATTCTAAATGAGGGAAGAGGTTGCAATCATTTTGATGGCATCTGCTTCTGAATTTGGGGACTTTGTTCCCTTAATGAATTTCTTACTGCAAGTAGAGAGGATGGTTCTTCCTCCCCTTAAAGCTGCATCTCAAATGGATCATTACCAGGGCTCTGGGACAGAGCCTTCAGAATCTCACATTTCATTTTATGCTGATGACCCGCTTCCTTCCTTGTGGTGCCATCAAAGATCCGGAGTCTTTCAGGAAGGAGCCGGCAGTGTATCACTGAATTCCAGCACACGATGTATGCCTTTGCAGAGCGTTGGAAGTGGCTGTGGATGGGTGTCTGAGTTCCAGGAGGACTATGATCACACTTCCTCAACCTACGAACAAGCGACTCTGCTGCAGTTTGCTTGCCGTGTGCAGTTTTGGTAGAAAGTCTCAAGGCTCTTGGCTATTCATTTGAACTACATCTAACAGGCCACTTACTCTTGAAAAGTGAAAGTGCTAGTCGCTCAGTCGTGTCTGAGTCTTTGCGACCCCATGGACTGCAGCCTGCCAGGCTCCTCGGTCCGTGGGATTTCCCAGGCAGGACTACAGGAGTGGGTAGCCATTTGTTTCTCCAGGGGATCTTCCCAGCCCAGGGATCGAATCTGGGTCTCCTGCATTGCAGGCTGACTCTTTGCCATCTGAGCCACCAGGGAAGCCCTATTTTGAGAACTGAAAATTGCATAAACCAAGAAAGCTTGGGGTTGTGAATGTTTGGTTCCCCCGAGGATGATTTATTTACTTTTCACTTGCTCTGTGATTTAGTCTTTTCCTTCACCTGGTATGCATTCTCTCAGCTCTTGGGAATGGAGGACTTTTAGTGGAGTAAAGGTAAAATATACGATCTAGGTGCCTGAATTCTGAGGTGACACGGTTTGGATTCTTTTATCCCATCCCTGGTCTGAGCCTCATTTTAAAGAACTGTTGAGGGTTATTGTATTAATATCATGTAGAAATGCCAAAAGCATTCTTAAATATCTGACTGTTGGGGGTTTTACGGGGTGAATAAATGAAAACTCTTTTTTCCCCTCTGGAGTTATGAACTAATTGAGAAATAGATACAGAAGTCAGATGGAGATTAAAAGGCCAGCTTTCTTGCTAATAAGCTCATCAGAGAATGTAGTTTTAGCTTTGATGCCAGAAGGACTCACTAACCATTTTCACCCTGATTTAGAAGGATTTCCATGCTCTGTTAGTTTTATATTGCTGTGTAATGAATTAGTACAAATGTAGACACTTAAGGCAGCACTGGTTCATTACATCACTGTGGTGTAGGTAAGGCATCAGGGCAGGCTTGGCCAAGGCTCTTGATCAGGATGTCAGAGTGTCGACCAGGCTGGGTTCTGGGTCTGGGGAAGAACCTGCTTCCACACTCATTCGGATTTTGGCAAAGAGTAAGTTCTCTGTGGTTGTAGGACTGAGAGTCCAGTTTCCTTGCTGGTCATAGGGCGGGGGCCATTCTCACCTTCGAGGTGGCATACATTCCTTGGCACAGGCCCCTCCTCTTTGAAGACAGCGTGGAATCCTTCTTCTATCTCAGGGACTTCCCCTCTGCACTCTCCTGTCAGCTGCAGAAAGCAGTGTGGACTAAGAGCTCATGTGATTAGGTGTGTGTGTGTGTTAGTCGCTTAGTTGTGTCCTCCTCTTTGTGACCCCGTGGACTGTAGCCCGCCAGGCTCCTCTGTCCATGGGATTCTTCAGGCAAGAATACTGGAGTGGGTCGCAATTCCCTTTTCCAGGGGCTCTTCCCGACCCAGGGATCGAACCCCGGGTCTCCTGCATTGCAGGCAGATGCTTTACGATCTGAGCCACCAGAGACGCCCAGGGTTAGATGAGAGATGAGATATCGCTGCTCATCCCTTAAGGCCGACTGAGCGTCGGGGGAGTGATCGCTCATCCTGGTCCGGGTTCTGGGGCTCAGGGTGCTGCAGCTTTGGCCGTTTTGGAGACCCTGCCGCCACACCGTCTTGGTCTCTGGTAGCACAGGCCTCCCTGGAGAGGGCAGGGTCTGCTCCACTTGCTACACCAGAGAGAGCAAAGCTGAGTGCAGTTCCCTCGAAGGAAGGTTTCAAACAAAAGAAACCTTTGAAGACGGTTTCAAATAAGAGAGAAAAGGGGCCGAGCCGAGGGAACTCAGTCCGTTCTGCTGAGCCTGCTGGGTGAGGGGACCCGGTCCCTCCTGCCGAGTCCGCTGGGCCAGGAAAATGGACCTTGCCCCTGTGCTGATTTACAGAGGGTTAAAAATTCGACACAGCTTACCCGGCGGGCAGCCTGGAGCAAGGTTGGTTCAGGCTTCAGGCATCCCCTTCCCAGTAACACGCTAAGGATTCTGGTGCGAGTTCCAGAGTGTGGATTTTTCCCAGCTCGGTGTCTTAGCATTCAGCTCAAGTCTGGCCCTGTCTACCTGGAATTCGCATCAGGTCCCACACGCCTGCTCTCCGCCGTAGATGCCAATGGCGAGTCCAGCTTGTTTGTGTGCTTCGGATGAGTGGAGGTTTGTGCATCAGAAGTTCCCCCCAACCCCTTCCTTCCTCGGGTTCAGTCAGTTTGTTAAAGTGGCTCAGAGAACTCAGGAGACCAGCGTACTCACTAGACTTCTGCTTCAGCGCCAGGGGTGTTTAAGGCTGTGGATCAAAAGTGAGACAGAGAGGTACACAGTGCAAGGTCCAGACCCAGTAGCGCTTCCCCAGGGGGCCGGGCCCTGGCCTGCTGGCGTGTGGAGTGTCTGGTTGACCAACCTGGAATTTTTATGGCGGTTTCATCTCCCATGGGTGTGCTTGATTCAGTCGTTGCCCATTGG